ACGACAGAGGACGAGATGGTTGGATGGTGTTCTCGAGGCTACAAACATGAGTCTGACCAAACTGCGGGAGGCAGTGGAAGACAGGAGTGTCTGGCGTGCTCTGGTCCATGGGGTCACGAAGAGTCGGACACGACTAAACAACAACAACAACAAGGACATCCCTATTTTCATTGGAGAAATGTTGGAGAGTATGTGTTTGCAGAAGATCTCAGGGTTTGCCCCTGTGAAGTCTAGTTAAAAAGCAAGGGTGATTGTGGTTCTCCAGATGCTGTTGGACTCTAGTTCTCATCATCATTGATCCTTGGTCATGCTGGATGGAGTTGAATCCTATTGAAGGGCCACAAGTTCTCCATCCCTTAGTTAAAAAAATAATGTAAAGAAACCAGGCAGCATGCACAGATGAGGGAGAAAATTGCTTGCTTGCATTCAAGGGCAGACCTACTTAATTAGCACTTCCTATAACATTATACAGACTGAAACACAGCTATCTCTTGAAATTCATATTTCTCTTAATTTTGAAATACAGTTCTTCAGCCAAGTAATGCATATATTTGGGTACAGAAATGCATATATCAGGTTAAAGTGAAATAGCATACATTGCAAAAATGAGCATATTTCATTAAAAAAAATGGGTGCAGGGGGAATTGCATATTGGGGGGTGTAAATTGAAATTAAAAAGCTGATAAATTTTCATGAGGACTTACTTAAAAAAACTGAGGTGGAAATGTAAAGAACTGAACTTAAGAACAGTGAAAAAAATGAGAAACTGAGGGAAACAAAAATTGACAAATATGGACATTCCTAAGAGCAGGTGGTATGAGAGACCCAGTGTGAATACCTTGGAGAGCAGCTAGGAGTCTGAGCAGATAATATTGATATAGGTGAGCCTGGTTTAAGGTAGTTCCCTGTGTCTCTAGAACATTCTTTACCTTGTTCTACTCCCCACTATGACAAAACACTTACACATTGACACAAGTAGCAAACCAAAACAGCTGCCAGGTCGATTAGGGGAGCATTGCGGGGGAAAGCCTCATGATGGCCCATCATTCTGCTGAGAGTCGGAGCAATTTAAAAGTTAATTAGGCTACTTAATTAAGTGCTCACATCACAGAGGAGATAAAGCAAATTAGCTGAACACTAGTAACAAAGGGAGATAGGTGCCTGAAGCTGAGTGAATGGCTACTCAGACAGACAGGTTAATAACGGAGAGGAGAGGAGTCAAACAGGTCTTTCTTCCTTCCGTTTTTAAAGTGAGCCTTAATTCTGTTGGACATGAATTAAAAAGACCTTTTTTAAAAAAAGGTCATACAAAAAGGTTATCAAAATGAAACAGGAAGAAGCAAACAGTGTCTCATTGAAGCAATTAATAGGGTTTGCAGGTAACCATCTTCCAACAAGCAGCTACACACTTTCCCTTTTGTTCTCCTTGTAGCAAATGCTTTGATACATTTCTGAGATCATGCACTGATAATTTCTTATCAGAGGACAAAATATCATCCTGCAATAGGAAAAAATTATTATACAGTCACAGCTCCAGTAAAAACAACCTAAAAGACAAAAATTGCACAATATCTAACATGCATGGAGTTAAAATATATGGTACTTATATGTTAGGAACAGAAATGATTAAATTGATAAAAATCCCTTTAGAGCTCTTTGCAGCAGAAAAGAGAGCTCTACCAACTGTTTCTGTTGTGAATTTGCTTGTTTCAACCAATAAGTAGGCCAAATATGTACCATCAGTCAATGGACACTTAAACTCAAGAGATGGCAATCAGGTGTTGTTGCTTTTTTTTAAAAAAAAATCCTTTAATTACCACCACTTCCTCAAAAGACTAATGGAAACTGTATTTTGATGAGGGTTCTGAACACTCCCTCTTATGGTTCCCCAGCTTCCCTCCAAAGAATACACTTCCCTGGGGGAAGGGAATTACAATGAAATAAGTTTAAGTTGCAGATCTAAGATGCAGATATAAGCTTTCCATAATGTAAGTGTTGCAAGTCTGCAGTTAAGCGATCCCACAAAGAATTCTGGTTTGCATGGGGTGCAGAGCAGTAGAAGACAGCAGCACCAATCCAGTCTATTGGAATGTGTCAAGTTGTATTTTCTTCCGCTGTCCAAAAATTATCCCCTAGTTTTAAGTAATGCTTACCACCCCTCTCACTGTGGGCAATAGCACTTGTAATCTTGTAAACATCTCACAACCAAGTCATTAACAGGCCCACAGGCCCAGCATGTGATACAGTCTTGGCAATCCATATTCAATAAGAAGCACTCTAATTAAAACAGAAAAGCTGTCTTTTGGAATCACACAGCCGTTTTAAGATATCAAAATGTCTAAAGGCCCATGGTGGCAGGGGAGAAAGGGAGGGGGGAGAAGAGAGTTTTCCTGAAGAGAAAATTTAGCACTAAGTGCATGCATAATATTGCGAAGTCTCAACAGTTGCGAAAGTAAGTGAATCTGCTTGCCACCAAGAGCCGGTTATATCTCAATGAAATGTAGCTGTTGCCCAAAGGTTGAATTGGCTCATTGCCTTCTGTCAAGAAGAACATAAAATAAATCCTAAAAACAGTTCTGATGAAGTTATAGAAGTGCATGGGTTTGAAAACACTGTGGCTTAATGCCATTTAAATAGCACTGCCCGTATCCATATTTGCAGCTTTACTGTCCTTATGGCTACTCCGAGATGAACTTGACACAACACATTTCTCTTGCTTTGTCCCAGTGGGCTGGTTCACTTTTGCATGTTCATGATTTGATAGCTGCACTCTCAGAGCAGCATGTGAATGATGTTGGTTGTGACTGGTGTAAAGAAGATTTCGCTGGATCCCTAGATCCAAACATGGGACAGAATACTCTCTGGTATGAGAGAGTCCCAGCAGAGGTTTTAAAACACAAAGCATGCAGCAAAGTAAAGTGTGGGAATAGAAGCTCTTAGGCCTTTTTAATTATCCCATGTTAAGTTGCTTACAGTGCTTCCCCTTTCAATTCCCTTAGCATAGAATAGACTACACAGTTTTGTAAGGTAAAATGGTTTTTACTTACAAACTTTCCAAAGGTCATGTGTTTTTCCATACAGCAGCAAGAAAACACAGAGAGAAATCTTGGGTTACAAAATATGGGGAATGGTTTCTGAACACGTGGTCTAAGCATGGAGTGATCAAGCTCACATGTCCTATCTGGTTGGGTTTCACATGGTGGAAGAGGACAAACAGCAGACAAAGAACTTTCCTAACTGTTTGTCACTGGAGGTGAGGGGCTGTGACCTAGCTAAGTCCTGGGAAACTGTTTACTCTACTTGCTCAATGGTCTTAACCCCTTCACACATTAACTAAAGTTAATAATGCTACAGTACAGGCGTCCCCAACCTTCGGTCCTCCAGATGTTTTGGACTACAATTCCCATCATCCCTGACCACTGGTCCTGTTAGCTAGGGATCATGGGAGTTGTAGGCCAAAACATCTGGAGGGCCGCAGGTTGGGGAAGCCTGCTCTAGTATGAGGCTGTAATTTATCCCACAAATGAGTCACCAGGGAGAGCTTCCATACCTTCATGGATATTTCACACATTTTTAGGCACATTACAATTTATTTATTTGATGTAAAAAGCGAATGCTAAAAACTGCTGGGGTGTGCATGAGTTCAGATTTTTTTACAGAGAGAAACATATGTACACACAGCAGAAGGCCGTATCTTTGGCTACCTGCACCATACACTTAAATAACTATTATACCACTTTAATACCACTTTCACAGTCATGGCTTCCCCCAGAGAATCCTGGGAGATGTAGTTTGGTAAAGCGTGTTCTCCTTCATGGAGAGCACGTGTTGCGGTGGGGGCTAGCAAGACACCCCGCTGTTGCTGGGCGAGAAAGAGTTTGGTCACCATTAGCAGAGGGCTGTGCTGTTGCTGGGGAGAATTATATGTTGGCATTTTTTGATTGAGAGCCCTAGTCTTTAAATGCCCTGCACACAGCGTTGAGCTTCCTCTTTTCGCTGTGTGCATCGGATCACCCGCCCTCCCTCCTATTTTAGGCTGTTTGCTTGACCTTGCTATGCCTGTCATGGGGTCGTCTGCTTTGGGGCAGGGGTCCGGTAGGAATTTTGTCCATTTGGCTGATGCCATTTGGTTTTTGCCTACTGCGTAGCAAATCGTCACAGCTTGTAAGGTTGCGGTTAGGCATTGGTTTGGGAATTGGTTGGTGGAGGGGTATGGATTTGGCTGTGCCTGCCCCTCCAAAAGTGCTGCTGCTGCAAGGGTTTTCTGTTAAAGGAACCCAGGGGCTCACCATACTTTTGTCCGAACCCTGTCAAGGGGCTAGGGCCACGCAAGAGCCCCTGGGAGAATTTGGGGAGAGGTGAGTCATGGTTCCCAGTCCCATCTCTCTCCCTGGGTGTCTTACCCTTTTCTGACTTCGCAGGCATGTGAATGTCAGACTGTCACCGTGCGGGGTCAGATAGTCACAACCAATGCCTAAGCAACCACTCACATTGCTTGTAATTTAATAAAGTTGTGGCCAAAATGATGCCAAAAACCTTAAACAAAAATAATGTGTCATTATGTGTTTTATTGGGGGCTGTCTTGGGGACCTCGACCTGCAAGGGTGCTGATAGTTGTATTCCCCTCACTGAGCTACAATTTAATGTGGTATAACAATCATTTTATCTTCCTCAGGAACTCTGGAATTGTAGCTCTAGGGTGTGAAACTGTGAGTCTAGGAGTAGCTCAGCACCCTTAACAAACAAAAGTTCCCAGGATTCTTTGAAGGAATCCATGTCTGATATGATACGGCTTTAAATCTGTAGTGCGGATGTGTGTCTCTGGGTCTGCTTGCCCAACCCCCAGCTCAGTGCAGGATCTTCAATGCAACTTTCTGACAGATGGCCCTTCAATGCATCCATCAAAAGATAGTCTACCATCTAGCAAGCCAATCTGCAACAGTTCTTACCATTGGAAAGTTTCTTCTAATGTTTAGCCAAAATCTGCTTCTCAGCTGAAGTCATGTGACCATAGCACAGCAGTGCCTGCTGAACCGAAAGAAATAAAGAACATGAAAGTTAATCCACAATTGCAAGTACAATTGGCAGCAAAATTAGCATCTTGGTGCATGTTAGTGGGCTGGCAAACAGTTGCAGCCGGTAGACCACTGGACCTGATTGGGTGATTTAGCCCTAAATATGTTTAACTAAAGGATGCCACTTTTTAAAGGGGTCTGATAGTGATTGCCATCCTGCACAATCTGTTTTAGTACAATAAACACACAATTGTTGACCACTGTGGTGTATGCAGTCCATATAACCTTCATTTCATTCCTAGAAATTATAAGGGGTGTTGTGTCTATTAGAAATACAATAAGATATTCCATTTTCTCTCTGCACTCTTGGGTTCAAGTTATTGATCTCCAGCTAATATTAATTACACATTTATAACTTGGGGTTTGCTACATTTTTGTAGAAACATTTCATAAGTAACGGCCGTGCCAAGACTTTATGACATTGTTTTATAGCCGAGATGCAAACATAATCAGCCGTTTTGTGTTGTTTCTTGCTTAAAAGCTGCAGCAAGCATTATAAACCGCCTGCTGAATGCATGTTGTTAGCAATGCCTGTGGAAAATGTTTCTATTCTGTCAGGCATATGCAGGCTATTAAAAATACAACCTTCCAGAGTGTGCTTTTCTTCTAGAAGAAAAAAGGTGACTGTACTGCGTGCTCTTGTGTACCCCTGGAAAAAAGCACTGCTTCCACAATTATTATTTGATGTCTGTTTTTAACTTTCATCTGTTTTCTATCATACCATTTTATGTTTTATTGCTCTAAACGGCTCTGATATATTTTTTATCACATAGTGACACATAGGGCTACCTCTGATGATGGTTCAGAAACTTCAGCTAGCACAGAATTTGGTGACCAGGGAGCAAGACACTTTGATATTACACTGATCCTGGTCCGACTGCACTGATTACCAATTTGTTTCCAATTCAAAGTGCTGGTGTTGACCTATAAAGCCTTAAATGGCTCAGGACCACAATACCTCAAGGACTGCCTCTTTCCATATGAAGCTACCCAGACCCTGAGATCATCTTCTGAGGCCCTCCTTCCTGTGCCTCCTCCTCAAGAGGTCCGGAGGGTGACAATACCCGAACGAGCCTTCTCTGCAGTGGCTCCCCATCTGTGGAATACTCTCCCCTTGAAAGTTGGCTTGGCGCCTTCATAATACACCTTTAGGCACCAGGCAAAAACGTTCCTTTTTAACCAGGCCTTTGGTTGATCTGATTGATATCCTATGCCCTTTTAAAATGTGGTTTTTTTGGGAGGGGGGCTATTGGGTTGTTGTTTTTATTTTTATTATGTATTTTGTGGTTTTATATCTTGATTTTATTCTGTGAACCACCCTGAGACCCCTGTGTATAGGGCGGTATATAAATTCAATAAATAAATAAAAATAAATAAAATTAATTTAAAAAATAAATAGTAGGGAGAGGCACTAACCTGACCACTTTCACACTGCTTCTAGGATGTCATGATCATGGAGCCTCTTGGTCCTCCTTCTCCAACTCCTAAAAACACATACAGTGGTGCCTCGCAAGACGAAATTAATTTGTTCCGCGAGTTTTTTCGTCTAGCGAATCTTTCGTCTTGCGAAGCACGAAATCCCATAGGAATGCATAGAAATTCAATTAACACGTTCCTATGGTCAAAAAAAGTCCAAACAAAGCCAAATTTGGTACAACAAGAGTTTATTAAGTGCTCTTTAAAGTCACACATACTGTAAAGAGCATTTCAAAAATTGAAGGAACAATAAATTAAGTTTCTAAACATGACAGAAAAACATTTAAAAATCAACAAAGTGTACAGTATATTTTCTAAGACTCTGGGGGACAACTCGAAGAAGGTTCCTCTTCCACTCTTTGCTTCTTGCTGAAGAACCTGTCCATGGTCTGCTGCTTCATCCGCCTTTTCAACACCTCCCTGAAAGGCGACATGACCCTCGTATCAAAAGTGTTCGCAAGGTCATGTGCCACGTGCTTGTCAGGGTGGTGCCGCTGTGCAAAAGCCTGCACATCCTTCCACTTCAGGCAAATGACCCTCAGTTTTTTTTAAAAAAAACAGCAGAGTGGCCCAATGGTCACAGAAAATCATAATAATGCAGAAAAAAAACACACAAGCTTCCAGATTCTTGCAAACCCCTCCCCAACACCAAGTCCTTGAATTCCAAACACCCCAACCCAAAATCCAAAACCCCCCAAAAAAGTTTTAAAAGTTTAACTTACCAAATGGCTGCAAAAGAAGTTTTGGGAAAGCTTCAAAAATCACCAAAGTCTTCAAAAACCTCAAAAAAGGCTACCACACCTCGTGCTATGAGTTGCTCCTCGAAGTCAAGTCGCAACTGCACCTCTTCAAGCAATGCACCCTGGGTATTAACGGTTTTACGAAAAAGGAAACAAACTTGCAAGACGTTTTCGTCTTGCGAAGCAAGCCCATAGGGAAATTCGCCTTGCGAAGCACCTCAAAAAACGAAAAACTCTTTCGTCTAGCGAGTTTTTCGTCTTGTGGGGCACCACTGTATTAGATGTGTTGCAGTTCAGACATTAAATGTATTGCTGTGGGGCTTGCGGCAGCCCAAGAGCTTTGGCTCTTTCCAACCTCACAGTGCCCTTGCTCAATGTCAGTGATGGCTGGTGCCCTTCGGGTTGGCATGGAGACCAACAGGAGGAGGAGGCAGTCACTGACAAGCGGACACTCATGAGTTTTGTCTCCCTGCTGTTCCCTGGGCAAGGGCAACATTGAGGACAGATGGAGGTTGGTGGCAGTGCCCCATTTGCACAAATGACCCAGCCTGCGCTGTGCACTGGCCAGACTAGATGGAATCCAAAGGGTTGTGTGGCCTTCTTCATGCACACCAGAGCTTTTTCAGGGGGCTTTTCCTACTTTAGCCTCCTAAAACCCAACGTTGGCAGTTGACTGGTATCTAATTCACCATGAGATGGTGAAGCAAGAAGACTTAATCAACAGACTCCCCAAATGAATGCAGGGAGGTGGTTTCAGCACATACATTAATCCAGCTTTAGAGTTGGAAGAGAATGTTTGATCATCTCCTTTAACCCTCTGCCAAAAGGCAGCAGTATCTATTCTTGAAGCATACATGCCCATCAAAAGTTACTTTCCCCACCGTAAACCTCCAGACAATGAGATGGCACAACATCTCAAGATATTCCATTCTTCCATTGCTGAATTTGTACTATAAAATGCCAAGAAGCAATGTTAAAGTGTGTGTTTCCTCCCTATAAAATAATCTGAGGTATGTTGTTTTCCTCCCAGTGAGGTCTTGGAGATAAGAAATGCAGTAGCTCTGCCAGTTTCCCATTTTAATGATCCCTCATGTGTGCCACAGCTCAGTCCCCAAGCTGCAGTTCAATAATTTTTGTCATCTAAAACGAACCCAAGTTTCCAGTACAAGGACGCAGCCCCGACAACCCAATCTGACTTTCAAAATGACAAAATTGGGTAATTTTCCACATGGCAAAATTTTGCAAATATGCTAGATGAGATCGCCGCCCATAAGTTAAATGGGTATCCCTGTACGGATCACTGCTATTCAAGATGGAGAGCAAGAAAAGCATTGGATGAAGACTTTCACGTCAAAGGAGCGATAATATAGCTCTAGACTTTGCAACAGGAAACATTCTTTCAGAAGGCACTTTGCCACAATTCCAACCTCAAGTTGCAGTGAGAATTCTGACCCAGAGGCAGTGGAGCCAGGCAGATCGGGAGGCCTAGTAGCACAAGCCACAGAGGGGCTATTTCTTTATCTTGGTCTCTGCAACAAGCATGAGCTGGCTCAGGCAGAGGTCTCTATGATCCCCAGAGTAAGCACACACACCCTTATCTGGATTCCATTAAGTGACTGGCCCCATCCAAACTAGAAACATTATGCTTCTGACTGAATGCTTACCCATGCAGGCTGCAGGCTGTAGGGCTATCCCATTAAGGCTGTTCAGGAAGATGGTAGAGCCTAGAAGGAACAGCTTTGCTCCAGACCACGTAAGAACAAAGTGTCAAACAGGAGCTGTCCACAGTGCTGTAACTCCAGCCTGACTTGTCTGTGTCCGGGTCCAGATCAGGGTTGGAAGTTGGAGTCCTGATGATAAACTTATGATTAAGTAATCACTCATAGTGAATAAGGACAGACTCCATCCAAACAGGGCTACCTACCTTCCTCTATAGCCACACCTTGCATGATGCCTTCCCTTATACCAATTCTTCCCTTCTTTCCCCTTATGCTGCCATGACACAGATTCACAAAGATTATATCTGAGAAAATAAAAGCTATATTGTAGCAGCTGCCCAGCTAACTCTTCTCTTTCTCTGTTATGTCATTGAAAAGACTTCTGCCATGTATCAGCTAACAGAGAAAATGTGCTCAACCGACAAAGTTCTATTTTGCCTTGTGTTTTCATATTCATGTTGCTATTAAAGAAAAAAAAACTTACCAGAATCACATGTTGGCCCAGTCCAGAGAAAGTCCCATGACATGAAATAACAGAAGCAAACCATGCATTAATGTTACAGATCATGAAGAAGAAGAACCCGGCAAGGTATTTGCAATGCTCCTACCACTAGAGAGCAGATGGGCTTTACCTATTGCATGCACTTTACAAATCAATGCATTTTACACAGTGCTGTGGCTGATGGGAATTTGATGCCATTTTAAAAGTGAGTTATTGAAGAAAAGAGCAGATACTTACCTTCAGCTGTTATATATCTAGTATTTAATCTTTAGTGAACCTCAAGGACCAAAACAACTATAGAATCAATTCATCAGTTCAATTGCAACGGTGGAATCAATCATATCTAAATGGATTCCCAAGTTCAATGTCTACTCAAGTAATTGTTCACAACTCTATTTGGAGTGCTTCATAATCATTAGCTCACCTGTCCATTCTCTGTATTTTTTTTGGTGAAAAAACAGCACTTAAAGCTTTGACATAATTAATTCCAAATAGATTGATTTCTCCTTTTCTCCTGGCTGGCTTAATCAATCTCTTCTTCTGCCCCCAACCAAATGATATTTATGGCAACTTACTGAAAGATACAGTATATTATCTCAGTATCGCAGGGGAATATGTCAACTCTTCAGCACCATATGACTCTTTCAGCCTCACTAATATTAACGTATTAGGTAGTCAATATCCATTGAAGGATTGCAGTGAACTTGAATTCTGTTGACTGCCATGGAAGTCAGAAGGAGAGCAGGTAACAAACTATTGTATGCTACACTGCCTCTAGCAAACCTTGCAGTAATTGCATTATATACTCTTAAAACTTTCATTCCTCTGTCAGCAGTGGTATAAGGTAAAAAGGTAAAGGACCCCTGGATGGTTAAGTTCAGTCAAAGGCGAATATGTCCTCCACAACTTGTAATCTAATGACTTCTAGAGGGCAACAATTCCTATCCCCCTTGACCACCAGCTAGGGTTGATGGTAACTGGAATCCAACAACATTTGGAGGGCCAGAGATTCCTCACACCCATTTTGAACCAAAATATCAGATTTATATAGTCATTTCTTTGAGTTCTGTCACACTAGGATCACATTCCAGCACTGCAACACTTAAAGGTGCCCAGACTGTAGACGTGCAAATGAAGGGGTGTGACTATGCAGATAAGGGGTCACCAGTGGGAGGAGTCTGGCAACAAGACAAAATGCTCATCCATTTTGCCACCCCATTTTCTGATTTTGAGGGAGGTGACATCTCCTCACTGGACAGTATTTAACTAAATAATTGTGCTCACACAATTATTTCCGCTTGCACAAGAGGACTTCCCCTGTTCACTCCACAACATGTAACCTGCATCATCCCCCAATTTGCTCCAGAAGGCTGGGTGGGGGAACTACAAAACAGATTGGGGGGGGGGGGAGAGAAAGTTTAATAGCACAAAAAGAAATGATTGCACTGACAGAATCTTAACCTCAGCACGACAATGAATCCAACCGATTGCCACCATGGGAGCTCCTCTCTTGGCAACCACTAGACCATCAGAGCCATCAGAGTGACACTATATGCTAAGATGGACTTCTGGTGAAAATATAGTGGAAAATAGTATGGACCACCATTTTTCTTCCTAGAAACCGCCTTAAAGGAAATCCTGCATCATCACAGAGCATCACTTTGGGGGCCTTTGAGAGCAAAATGGTAGCCACCAGCTTTTGACCACAAGAAGAGGATTTTCTCTGAAGCCAGTGAGTTATTGAATACCTGCAAATTTTGCCATGCAGCCCCTGAAAATTGCTAGGGATTTCAGTTTTCTTGTCCCCCACACCATACCACCTCAGCCCTGCAGCCCTGAATACATTCAGGTTTTTTTCCAGCTGAAGTGTCAAGTGCTTTAAACACATGAAGTGTAGGAAAGTATTTCGAGAGATAGAAATCAGCACCAGGCAACATGGTCAGTGATGATGGGAGCTGTAGTCCTGAAATAAAAGAATCTAGTAATAGCAACGATAATAGAATCATAGAATTGTAGAGTTGGAAGGGACCCCCTCCCCCCTGCAACACAGGAATATGGAGCTGTCCCTTGTGGGGATTTAAGCTGCAACTCTGGCATTCTCAGCACCACATTCTAACCAGCTGAGCTATCCAAGGCCATGTTGTCATGGACTGGTTGAACACAGAGGAACTGGCTGGGGAACTACCAAGGACAGAAGGCTCAGAACCTGGAGAGTGGTGATGGGTCAATGATGAGTACTCACAGGGAGAAGAGGGGAAAGACTAGGAAGAGGAGGTGTCAGAAGCTGTAGGGGTAACAGGGCTCAGTGAGTGGGGGGAGTTTGTGGAAGAGAGAAGTCAAGAATCAGAAGCTGAAGCTGAAGCTGAAGCAGCTAAATGGGAAGAGGGAGGTCAAGAGGCAGAGATGAGTTAGGCTAGTGAAGAGTCATGAGTATCTTGCCCTCCTGCTGTGACAACCTCCCCTCCCCCATTGACTTCTAGGACCAGGAGAGGTATGAAATGAGAAGAGCAAAGACAGGCTTCATGAAGGCGCAGTCTCTGATTGCTTGCAATAAGCCCTGAAGAGGAGACATAGATGGCTGTGGAGAGTTGGGGACTTTTAGTCCGAGCAACTGATTTCATGAAGTAGGACCTACAGGGCAGGAGCTGCTGTGCTCATTAGGACTCAAACTCAGCCAAGTGTGGGAAGATCATGCTTCACTAATAAAGAGTTAACTCCAGATTTGAACTGTGTGATTTACTAACCGGCTTGCTCTGTGACAAATGACCTGAATTACTGCAATTATCTCAGTAAACCTCAACACAGATATATAAATATTATGATCTCCGTAGTGCCAAAGGGTTTATCTATATTAAGATAGGGTTTACCTATATTGAGTTCATGGCAGAAGTAAAATTTGAACAAGGGAAAGAGAAGCCATTTAGCAAACAAAGAGACAAGGCTCTTTTAAACACCGGGGCCCAGCATGGCAGAAGGTGTAAAGGTGTGATTGTGATTGACAGGAGCAAGGTAGATTTGATAGTGACTGAGCTTGCACAGAGCATAGAGAAGAGGAGGGAGTACGTGGGAAGGGATTCAAGAGAGGTGATATAATCTGTACTAGTGATTGCACTTTAAATAAATAAAGCGTCGATCCTACTACACACATTTACTCAGAAGTCAATCCCGGTGAGATCAGCTAAATTTATTCCCAGGTAAATCTTTGCTGGATTGCAGCCTTAGTTAACCAGGAGAGAATAAAAATGACATTTCTCAATGATTAGGAGAGTGAAAAACAATTACAAAGCATGTCCATCTCTAGAGCTGTTGAAACAATGGAGACTGTGAAAAGGAAGACTGGTAACAAGCAAAATTTGGGGAAGGGAAGTTGGGAGAGAGAAAAAGAGGTGCTTACGTGAAAGAGGAGAGACTGATGGAGGAAGTGGCCAGGAATTTACACAGAGAGCTACAGAAACAAAATAAGAAACAGATGGAGAGATCAGTATGTTTATAAATGATGAGGATGATTTTAAATGAGTTTAGCAAAGGCAGGTCAGGTATTCAAACACCTTTACATACACTATCTAAATATTCCTTGCAAAAGCCCGTAAACCCAGATTGCAGATTTTGATTGCGCTCAACTTTTTGATGTGAAAAATTCTGGGACCTGGAGCAGGCAGTGGGAGCTCGGAGCACAAAGGAGGCAGGGCCACAAAAGGAGCTAGGTGTGACGTTAACATATGAGAATGCTGGAAGTGAAATAGTTAAACAGGTTACCCAATCAGAACCCAGGGGGGTGGAGTCAGAGGGACTATAAAACCAGCTCTGGGAGGGGCGAAGGGGGGAGTTCATTGGGAGTTGGGTGGTTGGTTGGAGTGGGAGTGAATTGGGATAGAGTCTGTGGGTAGGTTGAGTTAGTGTAATGAAATAAGCTGAGTCAGGAACAGTAAGGAGCTAGGAAGACAAGTAAATATCTGAGAGGTGGTTTAGTGAGTGAGAGCAGGTAGCAGAAGTTATAGGTCTGGATAGGCACCCCATGATTGTAATGGACCGATCCCGTTTATGAAACCACACGCTTGTTAAACCGCAATAAATAAACAGAAGTTTATGATCCAATTTAACTGTGACTGGATTCAGTATTGTACCAGGTAGGGCCTGGGTGGTGGCAGCGAGAAATAAAGTGGTGGCACAGGGATGGTGAAACGTTTGGGGACCCTGTGTGATCACTATACCAGGTACAAAACCGGTCCTCACAACTGACATTGCTATGTTGCTCTGCCCTCACCCGCTGTGCTCCTCCCTTTGACTCAGAAGAGCCTGCGTAGGGCAGCTCTGGAAAAACCACTCCCTGAGCGCTGCGTGATCTCCTGTGCAGAAACGTGCAAAACATGGCGGTGTGGGACCGACTTAACAACCTGGCACACATGCTTGGATGCACACTTGAAGCACGTATGCAAACATAGCAGGATGCTGCTCATATTTACTCAGACATTCTGGCAATCAATTCACTGCTGTCTTTTAGCTGCAAAAATCTGGCATCACGCCTAGAGGTTAAAAAGAGAGTTTGCTGGTTTCTTTTCATATCGGTTGGTAATTCTGTGTATTCTCTTCTATATGCCCTCATTGTGTTCTGGACTTTGTTTTATGGCACATCTTCTTCTCTTTTTTGTTCAGCCCGTCTCTTCATTAATAAAACAAAGTAATCTCAGGAGAACATTAACGTGGATCCATGAACTACCCTGCTGTATGGATGGCTGTGTTTCAACCCCTCTTGTTTCCTCTCTCTCTCTCTTCAGACCATTAATTCTCCAGCCCATATTCTCATTTCCTCCCTTGCTTTCCCTCTTGCTTGCATTATGAGTTTCTTCAAGCAGTGCCAAGTCAGGTCAAAACAATTCCAGCATAGCTGTGACCCAACTGCTTCCCTCGTCCATTCTTGGGAAGGCAAGTAGAATCAATATTGTATTTAATATGTACTGTTCACACACTGCCTCTTGATTTATGTATACAGGGACGTAGAAGCAGCTAGCAATATTGGCCTTGCAGTATAACACCGTACAATGTGCAACAAATAACATGATATAGAGAAAACTGATTTATACAGCCAAACATCCCAAGTAGCTTCCTGGTAGCTCTTATTTATGAACCTTGGACCCCCATATAAATTATCAAATCCTTCCAGTCGTAATGGAACACAACCAAATTATTATACACTCCAACTGCCCCTGTTTTGGGGAGTTATCCCTAGTAAACTGCTGTTTCTGTTTTGTATTTTGGGAGGAATTTGCAAGTACCTTTAAAGAGTTTTGTTAACACGAGTGCATGCACAAGGGGAAGGATTGGGAGCCTATGACCCTCCAGATGTTGATAGACTACAGTTCCCATCATCCCTGTTTGGGGTTGATGAGAAGTCCAACAACATCTCGAGGGTCACAGGTTCCCCGCAGAGGCAGATCTAGGAGAGTGCAACTGTTTCATTGTCACTGGAAGACAAGAGGCAGGGTGGTGCTGAATTTTGACACCACAAAGCATTGAGGCCCTAAGGGCCACCACTGTTTTCTACATCTACACTATAGCTTTGGAGACTTCAGGATGCTCCCTATGGTTTCAAGAAACTCATCTCTGAACAGGGTGGGGCAGGATGCACTTGAACTTGTGTGAATGAACACACACAAACAATGTTTCTCTTCTTCCACGCACACCACCCCCATGTAAGTACTCATCCTGGCAGGAAATATTGTGAAATGTGTTTGAAATGAGTTACACTCTAAGATTTACATCCTAGTTGGGACCGGTCCTGCTATTAAACACCAGATGCAGGAGGCTAATCAGGGATATGGGCAGAGCTATGTGTGTGTACAAACTTGTATACCTCAGGCAGCAAAATGTCTTGGGCCGGTCCTCATCTAGCCAATGTGTTGACACCCATCTCTATTTCTCAATTCCAAGTGAATTAAAAGAGGCAGACCAGTTCTTAGAGGCAGTGATGGGTTGGATGTGGGCCAATCAACTGAAGCTAAATCCTGAGGTGTCATGGGGCCTAGGTGCTCATGGCTGGGAGGCGGAGAGATGGCCTGCAGGATTGCATTCCCCTTGAAGGAGCAGGTCCACCGCTTGGAGGTACTGCTGGATTCAACACTGTCAGGTGACCTTGGTAGCTAGGAGTGCCATCCTCAGTTTTTGATAGTTTGCCAGCTATGCCCTCTTTTTGGCAGACATGATTGGGCCACTGTACTCCATGCTCTGGTAGCTTCCAGATTGCATTATTACAATGTGCTTTACATGGAGCTGCCCTTGAAGATGACTTGGGCATTTCAATTCGTCCCAAAGGCTAATTGACTACAGGCTGGAGTTGCATTTACATTTCATATAACCCATTATAAAACAGTCGCAGTGGCTGCCAGCTTGTTGCTGCTTACATGAGTGTTTAAGGCCCTAAATAAATCAGCCCTCAAATACTTGAAAGAGCACCACCTTCCCTACAGTTGCTAAGATTGGCAAAAGTGACCCTCTTGGTTGTTCCACCACCCTCAGGAGGCTGCGGCCTTGGAGACAGCATTCTCTGGGGCAGCCCCTAAGTTGTGGAAGTCCCTTCCCACAGATGTATGTCTGGTACCTTCATTGTAGAGCTTTTGATGAATGCTGAAGACACACCTCTTTATCCTGACTTTTGACGCTTGAGATGTTTCTCGTTGGGACCCAGCTTCTGTGATTTTAAGTTCTTTTAAACTGCTTTTAATATTGTGCTTTAATTGTTGTAACCTGCCCTGAGACCATGGGTTGAAGAGCAGGTAATGACCGCTCCCCGCTTAAAACGGGGGACGCCCTTTGCGTGGACGAGCGCAGCCCCTAGATCTGGAGCAGCTCCAACAGCATAGGCTTGGTTTGCCTTCCCTCAGGTGGGATACCTGGAGGTCTCCGCCTACCTCAGTCAGTTGTCCAATCCCACCTGGGGGAAGCGTTGCCAAGGAGACCAGGCCAGGTAGGGGAGGGATTACCTGCCCACACAATAGAGGGAGGATCTTACCTGGGAATCCTCACTTGGCTCCAGAGCTTCTCCCACCCTACCCACCCTCAGTTAATGTCTTATTTGCAGGTTAACTTTTCTTCACAGGTTTTGCAGGTTAACTTTTCTTCACAGGTATGCGGGCGCTGCTACGTTAAGGTTGCTGTTAAAGGGCTGGAAAGGAATTTCCCTGCATTGGCAGGTTTCGCCTTTCCCGTAGCAAAACGTCACAACTTTGGCAGTATCAGGCCTTGGGCAGAATCCTTTAGTCCATCTTCCTCTTTGCGGCGGCGATACCAGGGTTCCCCGTTAAAGGGGTTTCTGAAGGGAGGCTTTGACCGTACGCCGAAAGGTTGTCATTGCTCTCCCCTGCGGCGGCGGCGTAATGGGGGCGGCTATCTCTGCTTGAACATATGTTCTCCAGAGCCGCCCCCCCCCCCACACACTGGATAACCCTGATGCTCCCTAGGTCCCCGGCTGGGGACTGGAGAGGGAGAACGCCCAATGCCTGAGCGAAGGTCTACCCACATTTGAAATTTAATAAAGTTGTGGCCAATTTAATCCCATAGCACGCTGTCATGAGTCGTTATTCCACATGACGGGGGGACCGCGCGGGATCTGGGTACTCTGCCTGTCCACACAATAAATTTTACCAGTAGTGGTTTACATATATCTATATATCTCTCCTTCAGGATCCCAAAGCTCTTTCCTAGTCAAATGTTGCCAGTACAATACTGAAGATGATTGTGGAGAGGAAGGTGATTGTGTCACAAGTCACTGGCCTGCTACCCCTTAACTCATTCTTAAAGTGCCCCTCCAAACTTTGGGTGATTTAAAGATAGGCTTTATATTTGCATTTGGATGAATGCATTTGGATGAATGTTGTAAATACAAACCTTGAATTATCTTCAATTTAAGAATATGCTCAACCCTGTCATGTCATTGCTAAAAGCGTGTTTATGGAAGACAATCTTACTCGGCTACGAGTGATCGCCAAAGAAGAAGAAGAAGAAGAAGAATGAGCTACCTGCAGCTGTAAAATAAAGTTGGCCCTTTCTGCATGAAGATCAACTTGCAGATCTGATTTAGATTCAGAAACACTGGAAACATAATGATCTCAGCTGTAATTCACTTCTACCTCATCTGTCAGGCCAGGCACTCATTTAGCTCATCGTTCCTGAATCTATGCGCTCTCTCTCTCTCTCTCTCTCTCTCTCTCTCTCTCTCCCCCTCCCTACTCCTCCCGCCTTGTATTAGGAAAAAGAAAGATTTTCTTTTGTCCTTCTTAACTGGTAGCTCCAATACTTTTGGAAGCTATTGTCTCAAATTTTGCAATGAACCCTTTGCAAGTACGAGAAGGCTGCAAATGATGTGCATGGAATTCTGGCCCCCAGTTCAGAAACTATTTACCACAATGCTCATATACAAGAGCTTATAGTGCAACATGTTTTCATTTTATTATAAGCTTTTTTTGGGGGGGGGGGGGGTGCAGTCAGATGGAAGAAATTCAGATCTTGTACTAGATAAGGTAGTTGCACTCTGCCGCCACCCCTAAAGTCATAGCCCTAAGCCATAGATTGACATGAAAGAAACCTGCAGAATACAGATAGTGGAATCTCCACTAGAATTCCCCAGTCTCTTCAGAAATCACAAGATTGGAGTGAATGAGATTAATGCTACAATTCTATATCAACCTACTTGGGGAAGTGAGCTGCACTGAAATCAGTCAGATGTCATTTCTAAACTTGAACAGAACTGGACTGTAATTCAATGTACATGTAATTTACTCAGACAGCCATCCAGCACACTTTTACCAAGCCGAACCACAATGGCACTGACTATCAAGTAAGCATGGCTAGTATTTGGCTGTTATTAGTGAAGTAAATAATATTTTCAAGTGAAGAAAAATAGATCAGCATCATCATGTCTAAACAATTATATTCTATTCTTATTATTTTATCAATGTATAGATATTTATTTATTCTGCTTCGCTGTTTTTTTACAAAGACACACTATATAGAAACATAAAACATGGAGTTAAATTTTTCGCACAAATAATAAAAGCACTGTCAGTGCAGAATTGCAGCCACAATATTTTTTTTTAAAAAAAAACCTCAGTCTTTATTAGGACTGGCCAGAAAATATTTCACATTAACCAGGATCAAAGCCTGGACAAGAATGAACCTTTTTGATGTTATGATTATAGGTTCCTTTTGATGAACAAAAGAGCAGTTAGGAAGTACAATATAACAGCATGATAGTTTAGATGTTGTGTTGGCCCACCTATGCATTTTTTTAATATATAATTTTATTTCACAAAGGTGAAAAATTGCACAAATTGCAAAAGAGAAAACTGCAAATGGCCTTATGTTGTCATGTAATTTATCATTCCAAAATACTGTGAATAAATGGCAAGAGAATAAAAGAGCATTTTATTAGTGCTTGAAAAACAAATTAGGAAGGTATTTTAGAATAGGAATCCCATAATGTTTTGACTGATTCCACCAAGGTTTAATATAAGATCATTACAGAATCCCAAAGAGATCATTTGCTGAAGAACGTTTGAAGATCTTAGAAGGCAGGCATCCTTCAGCGGTTACAATTATATCAATTTGTGCTGAAGTGTTGGAACCTGAAACATGTTGAATTCTATTTAACAGAATCTTTGGAACTTTCACTGCATACTTTCACTGAAAAATACTTCTATTCATATTTTGGGCAGCTGTTTAAAATTCCGAACAAATGCTTTATTGCTGCCTTGGGGATTTGGCCCTGTCTTGTGAGTAGACACTTCACATATTAGGAGCTTGCAAATGTGGATTTGAATCTGCATAAGAATAAGGAGGGAATAACTATAATCGGGGGGAAATGGTTTTCATCTTAATGTAATTTATTTAAAATGTATTCTGACTAGCTGGGTCCCTTGTGCTTCTGATTCCCAACACTGACCCATCTAGGTCAACATGACTGATTTATTCCAAATAAATGCTTTTTCCAAATGGATATGCTATGCCATGGAATTATATATATTTGTGTGAGAGGGTATAAATATAAAACATGGCTTGTTTTCAACCCACATTTACTCAGAGTAGTCATGACTAACTTGGGCCCATTGATTTCAATGGGTATACTCTGTGTAAAAGTGAGTTGACGACAACCCTGTGTCTTATATTTGGATACAAAGGGTTAAAATTAAGCTTGGATGATTTATCTTTTTCTGGTCCATGCAACTTTCACATATGTATTATTACTCACAACTCCATCTGGATCCATTTTTCTAATAATCCTTTGAAAAACCTTCTCTCTCTATATATATATGTATTAAAAAGGTGCATCTTTTCTCAAAATGCACATTTAAAGGTGTATTTGATACTTTAAGATGGAGGTAAAAGCATAAGAAAAACCCTGATGGAGGAGGCCAAAGGTCCATCTAAGTCAACACTCTGCTCACACATTTTTTGGTCCACCCAACGCCCATGGGAAGCCTGAAAGAAAGGAGCAAGATGAGAGGCTGATGCACAAAGCTTTTTATTTTTTTAAAGGACGTCCCTGTTTTCATCAGAGAAATGCTGGAGCGTATTGCTCACCTGGTGCCTTCATTACATATCTTTAGGTCCCACTTTCCCCAGGCCCTTTAAATTGGGGAGGGGTACTTTTTGTTTGTTATTATGGTATGTATTTTTGTGTGTTTATATCGTAAACTACCCTGCAATCTTCAGTTGAAGGGCAGCGTATAAATTTAATAAATAAAATGTGTTTTTGCGAATAAGCACCGTTGATTTCTATGGCATTTAGTTCTTAGTAGACATGAATAGGATTAAGGTAAAGGTAAAGGGACCCCTGACCATTAGGTCCAGTCGTGGCCAACTCTGGGGTTGCGGCGCTCATCTCGCTTTACTGGCCGAGGGAGCCGGCGTACAGCTTCTGGGTCATGTGGCCAGCATGACTAAGCCGCTTCTGGCAAACCAGTGCACGGAAATGCCATTTACCCTCCCGCCGGAGCGGTACCTATTTATCTACTTATACTTTGATGTGCTTTTGAACTGCTAGGTTGGCAGGAGCAGGGACCAAGCAACGGGAGCTCACCCCATTGCGGGGATTCGAACCGCCAACCTTCTGATCGGCAAGACCTAGGCTCTGTGGTTTAACCCACAGGATTGCATTGCAAGTAATCCATTGAAGCTGCTCTGTCTCTCTCTCTCCCCCCCCCCCCGACTTTGAGTTTGCAGTCATTTACCTGAGACTAGAATCAGTTCCAGTGACTCTTATGATGAGCTCCAGTGACATCAGAGCTGAGACTTCTTTTCTCTGGAAATTCTAGGCACACATAGAAAAAAAATACCAGTGTCATCTGTAGCCAGTATGCGATTAGAAAGAAAGAAGACATATACATAGCATTGCCTTCCCTGAAAGTTTACTGGAAAATAAATACAATAAAAGGGAGGCATCTGAGTCATACACATGAAGCAGACACAGTCTGCCTACATTTGCTTTCAAACTGAATTTAGAATCAGTATACATTTATTCAGAGCTAAATCCATTTCATTCCCAATGAAAAGCTGGAGAATGAATCGGGTGCATGCATGCATTCTTCTAAATCAGGCTTCTTCAACCTCGGCCCTCCAGATGTTTTTGGCCTACAACTCCCATGATCCCTAGCTAGCAGGACCAGTGGTCAGGGATGATGGGAATTGTAGTCTCAAAACATCTGGAGGGCCGAGGTTGAGGGAGCCTGTTCTAAATGGAACTGAACCTTCATGCAAACCACTAGGGGTTGACTGTGAGCCACAACAGGGCCAAAGGCACGATAAAGCCCTGTAGTTTTACCCTCCAACAATTATCCAGTGAAAATAGGGCTGTCCCATTCCATAATGATAATTTTACTATTTATACGCACATATCTTAGTGGGTTGCCCCAGCCACTCTGGGCAGCTTCCAATATATACAAAAACATAATAAAACATCTTTTTTAAAAATTCTGTATACAGGCTTGCCTTCAGATGGGACACTTGGAGGGTCTGCATCATATAAGAGAATTGTATCATGAAGAGATAGTGTGACATCATCAGCTTTTTCCTTGATCTTAGAATCAAGGAATCATACAGTTGGAAGGGAGGCTAGGAATCAACTTGTCCAAACACCTACAAAGCATGAATATGCAACTGCCCCATATAGGGACTGATCCTGCAACATGGCGTTATCAGCACCATGCTCTAACCAACTGAGCTATCCAAACTATGCTGCCTCAGGATAAGGCCCAAACAGACCTCAGCCTAGCATTTTTTAAAAAAATATTTTTTATTGCTCAATTTCCACATAACAAATTATCGAACCATATAATCACCTACATAATTTCCCCCCTTTTTATTCCCCCCCGCCCCACCAAGAGCTCCTCTCCCTGATTTTGCTGCACATTTTTTCTCTGCATATTATAAAATTGTATATATCCTTACATATCTATCCATCATGTTATCAAAAATAAATTTGTGTATGTTTATTCAAAACCTGCCAAGGAGTCCAGTTCATTTTGTTGTGTTTTTAAGTAATTTGTGTAAAGTTCCCATTCCTCCTTGAAGTCACAGTTGTCCTTGTCTCCCAGTTTGTATGTCAATTTAGCCAGTTCTGCATAGTTCATCAGTTTCTCTTGCCACTGTTCTTTTGTCGGGGTTTCCTCATTCTTCCATCCTTGTGCTATCAAGACTCTTGCTGCTGTTGTAGCATACATAAATAAGTTCCTTATTTTCCTTGGCAGGTCTTGTCCTACAATCCCTAACAAAAATGCTTCTGGTTTTTTTTTTTACAAATGTCATTTTAAACATTTTCTTCAATTCATTACATAAGACCACAGCCTAGCATTTAACCCAATGCTTGCAAGATTTAATATGAATTTGTATATTTTGCATTTATTTGGTAGAAAATAATGGAACAGCACATGGCAAAGTATGAGAAATATATCTGGGAGCTATATGGGAGGATAAAGTTACAATGATCCTTGGCAAGCAGCCATCCTGATGAGCAGTGAGAGACTTTGTTAGTTCCATGTTACAAGAAAACACATCCAGAGCGGGGCTTCCCTCTTCCTTTCATTTACACTAGTTGCCCTAGTCTGAATCAGAATTCCGGTTCCAACAGGAATGATGCCAGAACCCTTTCTTCCGACCCCTCCCTTTCCGCAAGGCTCAGAGTTTTCCCCATCTCCTACTATGGTGACTAAAAACTTGTCTCATTCCAAGAGCTTTCTGTCCCAGTCTTATCTGATAGTTGCCTAGCCACTCTTTGGCTGGCATCCAAGTCCTCCTCTTCTTGGAAACTAAACAGTTCTTCTTCTTCACTGGGAAGGAGGGGCCATGGGTTGCTTCGCCTGGAAACTAACCCTTCTCCCTCATCTACAGATTCAGTCTCTAGTTCACTTCCTGAGACTGCTCTTTCTGCTACACTATGGGGACACACGTTTGTGACAAAAGGGCTGAAACTAGATGACTGGTTAGCTTTCATAGATAAGCCAAGAGTCTGGCTCACATTGTTGCTTTCACTTCACAGTAGAACTCTTTTTGCCTCAGGGATCCATAAACAATGTTAGGGCCAATAAGGTATACCCAAGTTGGTGTGAGTTCACCAACCAGCCCTCCCCAGCCACCTGGCCTTAGCAAAGCAAGCCCTCCCCCACTGCCCCACCCCATAATATTAGAGTCAGGATTTCTTCATATCCATTTGAAAGGCACACTTTTCAAAGTTCCATTTCTTCACAAGGAAAAGGGAAATTTGGTCAGGAAAGATAAGGAAAAATTGGGGGCTGTGTTCTTTTGCCCCATCACTCAGTAAGAAGTGATATCTCACTTGTACAGAATAAGAAAGAAAGAAAGAAAGAAAGAAAGAAAGAAAGAAAGAAAGAAAGACTTATTTTGTAACAGAATGAATGAATGAAATCGTTTTTTTCTCTTCTGGCTTCTAGTTTATAGTGAAGCTGCTTTCAGACCCTCCAAGTGTCCCTATTTTCCAGGGACATCCCTGATTTAAAGAAGCTGTCCCAGTTTCAGATTTGATTCTGGAATGCCCCACTTTTCCTTAGGATGTCCCTATTTTCATTGGAGAAATGTTGGAGGGTATGGAGTTATCTGACCCCCCAAGCCGTCTGAAGGCAATTCTGTATAGGGAAGTTTTTTAATGTTTTATTATGTTTTTATATATGTTGGCAGCTGCCCAGAGTGGCTGGAGCAACCCAGTAAGATTTGTAAGGTATAAATAGTAAAAATATCATTATAGAATGGGATGTCCCAATTTTCATCGAAGAAAAATTGGAGTTTTTCCTCTAAGGGGAAAAATGCTATATTCTAAACACATCAAGAATTGGTTTGGAGAAAAATATTCCCTCTACTCATTGGTTTCTATAAATCTTTGCTGTGTGATGTCACCATGTGACTACAATGCCACCACCCTTGATTGTAAGACATGGTAGCTGGAGAACTTAGCATGGAGGGAGAACATTGACCCAATCCTTGGCTGGGGAGCCATGGGATGCAACTGTTTATATGACCAGGAGAGTGGAGGGATGCATCCCTCATACACATTAATTCAATCTGAATGGTCCACACTTATATCATTTGACTATTGTTTTGCAGATCTTCTGTTTGTTATGTTTAATAAATATGACCTTTCCACCTTTTATCTGTCTCCTGAATCTTCTTCCAGGTTATGTTGGCAACAGGGATAATTCCCAAGGTACATTTATCCAGTCACTACTCTGAAGTAATATTTGAGCTTTCCATTTCTGAGTAATTCATATACCCAAGGTATGTTTTGTACTTAAGTGTGCTGCTATCCTCAAGGCTGCAGCTCTGTGATAGAACTCAACTTTGTGTCACAGTATGTCTTAAAACATAGGAGGATTTTCTTTACTTGATTTTCTTTACCTTTAAAGATATTGGTACAGTCAAGATGGGTTCATATGTTAAGTGCTCTTTACAGTAATATCACTTATTTTGTCTCCTAGGCCTACACAGATGATTGGTCACAAGCAGTAGTTTGAGTTTTCCTATATTCTTCTGAAAAAATGATATTTATCTGTTCCTTCAGGCATTGTTTATCTATACTGTAAATGCAATTTCAGTCATTTAAAAAAAATCCCTAGACAATTTCCATCTTTCATGCCTGAAAATTGTAAACAAACTGGTTACCCTTTATAAAAGAGTTGTTGCGCACCAAGAAACAATCTGCAAATGAACCTGCAAAAGGCCGAAAAAGCCCTAGTGGATCTCACCAAGATTACATCTAGCAGAGCATCTTCTTTGCCAAAGTGGCAAGACAGGGGCCTTCTGAAATCCCACCAAAAGGGCATGGCTGCCACTGCCTTTTCCACCAGTTTGAATCCACAAAAATTGACCTGAGGAGGCATACTATCCCTAGACATGAACGACCCATTACATTTTCATGACAAACAGCTAGTAAAAGGTATTATTCTCCACAAATTTATCCAGTCTCAGCCAGATGGGCGGGGTATAAATAAATTATTATTATTATTATTATTAGGATTTACTCATTGGCCTTTTCTTCTCCTCAAGACATTCCACAAGACAGCAGATATGGATTATTCCTTAGGGTTTACTCCTGATGCCTTGCTCACAAATGAGTAAGGTAAAAGGTAAGGTAAAGGACCCCTGGACGGTTAAGTCCAGTCAAAGGTGACTTTGGGGTTGCAGCACGTATCTCACTTTCAGGCAAGGGAGCCAGCATTTGTCCACAGCCAGCTTTCCTGGTCATGTGGCCAGCATGACTAAACAGCTTCTGGCACAACAGAACACTGTGAAGGAAACCAGAGCACAAAGAAACACTGTTTACCTTCCCTCCACAGCAGTACCTATTTATCTACTTGCACTGGCATGCTTTCGAACTGCTAGGTTGGCAGGAGCTGGGACAGAGCAACAGGACACGGGTGGCGCTTGCCAATCGGAAGGTCAGTGGTTTGAATCCTTGTGACGGAGTGAGCTCAAATTCAACTATGGGGTGTGATGCTCATCTCTGCTTTCAGGCCAAGGGAGCTGGCATTTGTTTGCAGACAGCTAGATTTCATCATGGTATCACAAATTACTATAGCCATAAGGGCTACCCTCCCAGGTTAACAAGCCCCATCTACTTCTCATTTCCCTCAGCAGCATGTGCAGAAACCACCTCCAAGACCATTGGTCTTGTGAACTCAATCCACCAAAATCTGCCTTTGCAGGGGATAGACAAGTCCCTAACTCACTGAGGGTTTAAGGCCTATTGGCTACCCTCACCTGGTTTAGCTGGCCAGTCAAATGCGTTTCCTGGGGTATGACAGCTTCTAGGGGCCCACAGATGAAAGCTGAGTGCAGGATGGGGACCAAAGGTAGACAAACTATCCCAGAAGGAGCATGATCTGTCCCCAAACCGGTTGCACTGCCCCTCTTCTAACGTCACTAACATTCCTTGGAAGAATAAATATCCCACAATATAAATAGGATTCTACTTGCCTGGGAATTTTGCTTTGGTCTCTGAAGAGGAAAAGATTTTTATTTAAAAAGAAAAATCTGTAAAGGAGCAAGGATTATTCAAAGTGAAAAACAGACTCTAAAATTAACCTGATCCTTGAATAAAACACTATCTTGGTTGTAAATATGCATTTGCAGCAAGTCTTCATAATCTCCAATTAAGAGACTGAAGGGCTGTCAAGAGCATTAACATATCAATAGACATCTAAATACACATTCATTTTTCATGTAAAAATTTCCTGCATGACAACCAGGCTTCTTCAGTTTCTCTCTTAAGTCAGTCTCCGAGCTGTTTTAAGGTAGGAATTTACACTACACAAATCCTTCATTCCTGAACTTATTGTTGAATAATTAGAAATGGGTATTACCTTCTGTATATGTGTTACACTTGAGTCAAGGATGATATGAACAAATTAATTTCTCTTTTCTTACAGAACTACTCCTGTGGTTTAACAAAAGCCTTTAAAAAGAATTTTGCCACCCAAAACTCCTCCTTAACTGCCTCAGAAGTTTTTTCTTTCTCAGAGTTCCACTTGGTTTTTATTTAAAGGGGCAGAAATGTATTGACCAGACAAAGATTTGATTATGGAAAATTCAGATAACCTTTAACATGTGTGACTCTTAAATTTCTCACAGGAGATTATCTAGTTAGGTTACCTGGAAGCGGTCTAATTACAACCAGTTTATTGATCATTCCTCCTGACTTCCCTTGATTATTCAGTGTTGGATC